CATATAAAAATCTGGTATCAGAGCCTATAAATAATAATTTTAAGTAAAAAAGCTATTTTTATAATAAATATAAATTTAAAGACTAAAAGATCAAAAAAAATATAGTCAGAGGACTAACTGTTCTCTAACAGAATAGGAAGTTTTCCGTCATCTTTGACCAAGTAGACAAAATTGAAATGAATCTGAAAGTTAATAGACCACTTAAAAATAAAACATAGTTTCTAGACTAAAATGAAATCAAGCTGATAGTTAATAGACTAAAAATTAAATTAAGCCAATATTGAGCTGTATAATAGGAGCAACACTACAAAGAAAAATCTTTAAAGACTGCGTTTTTTAACCAGCGTTTTGTAGAAACGCTGGCATTTGTTGGGTAGGTTTTCTTGTGCTGTTATCGACTTCAACGTTTTATATAAACGCCATATTTAATACATTAACGACGGCGTTTATTACAGAAACGCTGCACTTTTGGTTTTCAATTTCTAACGTTTTAATTAAAACGCTATATTTATCCAAAGAAAAGAGCGAACCTCACGATGATTTCATTTTCCCCGGCCATTCCATTTCTCAGCAAAAATCTTCCTTCCTCAAATTTTACACCTCCACTCTTCAAATCTGATCCTTTATTCCGTCAAAATTTGTCCTCCCAAGCTTTCCTACTCATATTACTTAGTTCTCAAAATTTCTCTAATTAGTTCGATCCTGGTTTCTCTGATTTTGAAGCAAAAGCTTGAATCGATCCTTGTGCTTCTACTTTGAATCGATCCTTGTGCTTCTACTTTGAATCGATCCTTTCCAGTTAGTTTCTCCAATTTCAGGGTTTTAAGCTTCTAAGTGGTTAGGGCTTTGATTTCGCGATCTACAGTAGCGTATTCAAATCCTTGTGTAACCAATTAAGGATCTCCTTTATTGATCCTTTTCATTATTTTTTGAGACTTTGTGCTGCAATTTTTGTTACTTACTTGATTATTTGCTTCATTTGATTTTTTGGTATGTTTAATTGGTTTTTTAGGTTTTGGAGTTTAAGAGATGGAAGGAAAGCTAGGAACTTGAATCTTTATATAGTTGTTTGTGTTTTTCTACAGGAGTTTGGGGGATGCAGCAACAGTAAGGGATTCTCATTGTTCATAGGATTCTTTGGTATGTTTAATTAAGTTACAAAGTGTCCTTTTATTTTCATTTCTCTACAACATGTTCTTTGGATTGGTTGAATTCTAAAAGTTTATTGTTTAGCTATTTGATTTTCATTGGGATTTCTGGTTTTTTTTTTCTTTATCGCCACACTAACTTAGTTTTCTGTGAAAGTTAGTTGAACACTTGATATGTTTGTTTTGCTCCATGTATAATTCAGAAGAAAGTAAACTTCGTTGAGATCAGTAAGTATAATCTTTTTGAGTCATTAAATCAAGTGGTTAAATTATGGGTTAAATTTTGTCATGAAAGAAAAGAATTGATGTATTCTTGAACCCTTTATGTTGCAAGGTTGGTGATCTCATGCATAATTGGTAGATGGATGGTGAGGGGTAAATATTGTTGAAGCTCTATTAGCAACAAACTTCTTATTGGTTGCCATTTCAAGGATATTCATCATTGATCTGTTTGATGTGAATCAATATTTAGTAGTTGTCTGTAGAGAAAGAATGCTGAGTATGGAATCCATAAATAGGCAATTAGGAGGCAATATTATGG